GGATACATTGTGCGGTGGGTGACAGCGAGATCGCCGTGCTTTGGCGGACCTGGGCGGCGGAGCGCCGCCCTCAAGCCGAGGGTGGGCGGGCTGCGAGACACGGAACAATTCCGCTGTCGACCCCTCGCAGCCGGCCCAGCTGGAGCTGCCATCCCAGTTAGTCCCCAATTCGAGGTCATCCCACTTGATCCACAATCCGGCGTCATCGCGCACGACTGCACCGACGAAAGCGGCGCGCACTGAATGCCGGGAGCAGCGGCTTCTCAGCCGAAGAAGCGCATGCACGCTCATGCGCCCTGCACGCGGCGCCCCCTCATCACACGACGCACGTGAGCCGCCCGTGGTCCAGGAGCACGCTCATCACGGACTGCGCCAGGTCTGGGTCCGGCGGCAGTCCAGCCGCGTGGTGGGTAACCTCGGACTTCACTGTGAGCAGGAAGGCCGGGCGCCTGGCGCGCGGGCGCGGGGCACGGGTGCGTGAAGGGCGGGGTGTCGGGGTACGGTTGTGTGGGGTGCGGTGGTGCGGGGTGTGACGAAGATGTCCGTCGACGCAGTGAGGTGCCCGCTGGCTCGGCGCAGGCCATGGGAGGTTAAGGGGCCGAGTGAGCGGCCCGCTCCCTGGCCGGCCATCCAAGCCGGGGCTACCCCGGGCCGGCCGGGTGCGGCTAGACGCGCGCCTCGAACCCCCCCCCAAAGGCCTATCAGTGACCGAGCGTCTCGACCAAGCCCCCTGCGTTCGCAAGCCCGGGAGCGCGCGCGGCCGACGCCCGCAGCGTGCTGACACGCGCTTGCGCCGGCTGCCCGGCGCGTGCTGGCGGGAACCAACGCGCATTGTTGTCGCAAGAACCAAAGGGCCATCAAAATAGATGAAATGGTTCTAAGCGGGATCGCAAAATGTGCTGACGTGGCGCACCTGAGGGTCTGCAGCGCCCAGTCGGTGCAGGGCTCATAGAGGTGCTGCGCCGGCCGCACCCCCGTCACAAACGCCTCCTCTGGCTGCAGGTACGCGCGCACAAAGTTGTGCTGCAGCAGCACCAGCAGCGCCTGGCGCAGCAGCTTGGGCGGGAGGCGGCAGGCGCGGGAGATGTCGGGGAGGGGGGAGCGGCCGAGGCGCAGCAGCACGCCGAAGAGCGCCTGGCGGGCGGTCGGTTGTGAGGGGGGGTGGGGGGCAAGGGGGTTGAGGTGTTGTGGGCGGCCGGTGCGCGGCCGCCAAGAGTTTGACAAGCGGCTGGGCGTCTGCGGCTGGCAATGTAGTTTTGAGCGACATGATATGCAGCCTTGTGATAGCCGCAGGCGGGAGCATCTGCGCCAGGCTGAGAGGGGGTGAGCCGCCGCGGGCGTGACTGGGCAGCTGGTGCGGAATGCAAACAGCCCAGCCTGACCAGCTGCCAAGCTCACTTCCGCGGGCTCCCCCAGGAAGTCCTTTATAATTTTCTTTGCCAGGTCATGTGCATGCTGCGAGTTGTGTGCCATGGCGTGCCGCCCACTGCGGCGCCGCCGCCCCTGCCGTGCCGCTGCAGTGCTCCTGCTGCTCTTGGATCGACGAAGCTTGCGGCACTCGACAGCCAGAAGACACTTTCCACCTTAAAACTCCTACGTGCGCCCGACGACACAGTATTTGCTCATTAATTCCCCTGGGAGCTCAAGCTCAGCTTTCATGATGTCCAAGGAAAGATATGATGTTCTGATTTCGCGAATATCGATACTCAAAGGATAAGCAATCACATCACAGTACATTAAGGATTGAACAGGACTTGGAAGGTAATGTACAGATCAATATTGATCTAGTGGCGCGCACACAGTTGTTACCACGCAACAAGGAACGAGGAAGGGGTGCTTGTAGTATTTGCATCGGTGCAGCTGCAACATACTTGACGGCCGCGCCTTCGAGGTCTCGACAGACCGGCTTGCGGCCAACTCTCCTGCCTGTTGCAGCGCAGTTGACCCTCCACGAAGCTGTGAACGAGGAAACCCGCAAAGCCTCGTGTCAGCAGCAGCTTCAGAGGTGGGGTACCGCCTCGCATCGCCACGCATGCAGCACTCTGCTCGTGATTGCATGCGGGCAGCTGAGCCACATGCAACAGCTGCTGGCTGGGGTTGCGAGCCTTGTCAGCTGTAGATTTTCTTGGCCGTCGCGCCAGACGACTCCTGCTGGGATTGCCTGGCCGATCAAGTACCCAAGGGGGGTGGCCCTGATCGCGTCCAGCCACAAAGCCAGGACCGCCACCCCAGCTGCCCCCTCGGCCCTGCGCCCCGCGGACGCCGCGCGCAGCCGTGCCGATGGCGGACGACACGACGGGGGAGACCAAGCCGCAGCCCAAGCAGGAGGGGGCGGTGATCAACCTGGTGGTCAAGGACCAGAGCGGCGCAGAGGTGCACTTCAAGGTGCGCCCAGCAGCGATGCTCGGCTTGGTACCGTCATGGAGGGCATGGCGGTATGGCCGCCGTGCATGCTGCCATCCCAGTGCGGCCCAAGATTACATGCTTGACCGGCACCGACGCCTGCAGCCTCACGACATCTGGACTGGACTTGCTCAGCACACGGCCGACTCTCATTTGCAGCGCCTGCGCTTTTGGCTGCCGTCTGTTGCTGCAGGTCAAGACGCACACCAAGCTGGAGAAAGTCATAAATGTGGGTAGCGATGCAGGAGGCTATCGCGCATTTGGAAGAAAGCAATTGGGATATAGCAACCTGCGAGGCGGCGGCGGCGAGCGTGGGAAGGCACTTGTCAGCTTGCAGGGGCGCCTGACAGAGCTGGGCGTCAAAAGGAGCCGGGGGCGAGGGGAAGGAGCGCATCAACTGTTGCACGGACGGCATCTAGGGCACGTTCGCTCCATGAATATTTGAGGGGACAGTGCTGGCGTGTGGCCGCGGCATGCGGCCGGCAGCTGCACCTTCATGCAACTGACCACCTGTCCCCCCTCCACCCAGGCTTATTGCGCGAAGAAGTCCATAGTGCCCTCGACAGTCAGGTGTGCCCCCTCACGTTTGGTCCCCTCGATGGCGGGGCCGCTTGTTGGATTCAAGCAGACAGGCCACAGCGCCTACAACCCACCGCATACTTGCGGCTAGGTTTCCCGCGACCACGAGCTCTTTACACCTTTGGGCAGCCGTCATATTGCAACCCCCACCCAGTCGATGCTGGACAGTGTCACAACCCATCCCTTCCTTTTGCGTCCCCTTTCACGCACAGGTTTGTGTTTGACGGCACGCGCGTCAACCCCAACAGCTCACCGGAAGACCTGGGGATGGACGACGGTGGGTGGCGGCCCCGCTGGCGGCGGCTTGGCTGAGGCACTCTTTGGGCTTGCTGGGCGTTTGAGCTGCATGCTTGCAGGACCGGAGGCAAAAGCCCGTAACGCAGCTGTGCGCCGTGGGCTGCAGCAAGCGGGGCAGCGTCTGTCACCTGGACGCCGCAGCAGTGTGAGCGCTTTGTGCCGGCCACGTCGGCCCTAAGCGCCCATCGAACGATCGATCGATCGAGCGATCGATCGAACGGACACGTGCGGAGGGCAAGCGTTCCGCCAGCCCCCGCCCCCTGCAATGCCGCCCCGACCTCCTGCCCGCACCTGGGCTCCTGCCTGCCCCCTGTGCTCTGCCACAGGCGACAGCATCGACGTCTTCCAGGAGCAGGTCGGCGGTCGGCGGCCGTGACGCGGGGTCTGGGCGCGCTCTCGGGGTCGCAGCGGTGCCTACTGACGCCGTGTGGCCGTCAGCACTGAGATTGTGGGGTTTAGGCAGGCACTGTTCCAGCATTTCATGTACAGGTTAGAGCGGCCCCTCCGGTATCGCAACGAAGCGACCGCGGAGATGTATAGGTCAGCTCGATTGCGAGCGTTCGGCGCACCGCATGCACAGCGCCCCCTCAGCTAGCGCCGGCTGGGCTGTAAACGGAGAAGGTTGCGCACCAGAGGGTTGCCACGGATTATGATACGGTACCATGCATGAGCTTTGCGAGAAGAGAGGCGAGCCAAAACAGCTTGCGATCTGAGAGCGCAAGAAGATCAGGCGGGTATTTTGAACAAGGCGCGGACTCTCCCATCGTACATTCCCTGAAAAAAGACAGGTACTGTTCTACTGACAATCCTGTCAAGCGTTTCAACCAAACGAAGACGACCTTCGTGCGCGGAGCTCCGACACAGATCAGAGGTGACTTTGCGTCCTGAATGCATCGCGCTAAGCTTCACCGTAAAGCGCATAGCATGGCTGACTGCGTCCGTTTGCAGCGACTCGGCCATGCCCATCATGACAGCAGCACATCGACACATCGTGCTGCAGCACAGCTGTGAGGCCGCACTGCGCATGCGGCCGCCTTCCTGTTGCCACCTGGCTGCACAGCTGCACGAAGCATCTTATATGCAGTGCGTTGCCACCTCTTGCAGCAGGTCACGTTACGCTACAGCAGCAGTTTCAGCAGCGGCACACGGGAAGCTGCTACGCCCACAGAGGTCCTACGCCACACCAAGTGCACGGACGCAGCTGACCAGCGCGCCAGGCGCACCATGGCGGACGGCGCGGAGGCCCCGGTTCCCAAGGGGGAGGCGCTCAACATCGTAGTGAAGGACGCCACTGGCAACGAGATCCAGGTGGGCCGAGGTTGCGTGGGGATCATGAGGGTTGCGTGGGCGGTGCGTTTGTGACAAGCTAAGAGGAAACGGCTTGCATGTGCAAATGCATGGGATGCAGCTGCATGTCGGTCCGCAGACACATGTGAAGAGCTCATGCCAGCCCGCTCGTGGCGGACCAGATGGCACCCGGCAGCACCAGGGCGCCGCCAGCAGTAGTGATTGTGCAGCGCAGGCATCTTCCGGGCCGGGTCAGCCCAAGATTGCCTTGCTTATTGCCGCATGGCTGCAAGCTGCGGCGCATCGTGATACATGTGGATAGGCGGGAAGTCAACGCTTCGCACACCTTTCTGCAACCTCACCACAGTTCAAGGTCAAGACTACCACTAAATTTGGCAAGGTGGGGGGCAACACGCAGCGGCCCGTGCTGCAAGGATCCTCGCATCAGCATGGGGCCTTTCCCCCTAAAGCCTTGCGCCGTCCCCGCCTGCCTCAACAGCAAAGCACAGCAGGGTCGGTCGTGTCAAAGTTCATCCCGCCACTTTGTATGACGCGGCTCCCTGGACATGCAGCCTGCCCCCTTGACACACACGCGCGCGCGCACACACACACACACACGCACACACGCGTGCGCACGCACACACACACACACCACATTCATGCATGCATGCGCACGCGCACACACACACACACACACTCACGGAGAGTCACACCTGCACACACTCACACACACGTGCACATGCCTGCTCAGATCTTTTCGGCGTACGCTCAAAAGAAGAACTTGGACGTTCGGTCAATCAAGTGAGGGTCGGAGAGAGCGAGCAAACGGGGTGAATTTTACAGCCCATGCACGGGTGGCAGACAGGCAGCAGGTCGCGCCGGAAGCCGCCTTGCCATGCCAGGGGCTTGTCCAGGCGCGGGCAAACCACCAGCGCCCCAGCAGCGGCGCCGTCCTGGGCAGCGAGTGTGTAAGGCGACAAAGTCGCCGGTTTCATGAGTGGGCATATGCACGGCTGGTGCCCGCAGGTTCTTGTTTGATGGGGAGCGGCTGCAGGAGGACCAGTCGCCCCAAGACGTGAGCGGCTCCCTGACCGGGCGTGGCAGGGAGCGGGCAGGCGCGCCGGCGCGTCCTCCCTTTCACTGTTCTCTTGTTTTTCCGTGACAGCTGCTTAGCTCGCGGGCATGCGCGGCGGCCCCCACTCTTGCCAGCACCATTTCTGGCG